TGAATTCTACACATTTATTTTCCATTTCTGTCCTCCATCCAGAGCCTTGAAGCACGGCCACACTTTGACTCCCAAACTCCATTGGACATTGGATACAAACAACTTCTAATATGGATTTTCCCAAAGAATGTGAAAACCACTTAATGAAAATATTATACATCATGAAATAATTAAAGTTTATGCTCTCATAAGAATTATTTCTGGGCTGCATCCAACCTTAAATATTAATGTGTAGGTTATATAATGTGCAGACATTAATAACACTTTACTGGATATACATGGTTACCATGGTTTCTGGACATTTGAATTTTTAAATTTAGTTTATAAAACCCTGCACAACCCAAAACATTAATAACAGGGATTAAAACTTTTTCCATCCATTTAATATGCAATATACATGAGGACACTTCTATTTCTCAATAGCCACTTTATCAAACTCAGTAAATTACTGTGTTCACATTTTCATTAGCTGTAGTCATGGAGTTGCTGATGGCTCTTAAAATCAGTTTTTACTTCATTTTCCATTATTTTTTCAGGAAGCCTGTCTTCTTAGAGACTTCTTTGTCTTTAAAAATTTATGTCATGGAACCTCATGTTGTCAAGAGCACTGATTGATTCATCAGTGTTGAGTATCCTGCATTGTTTCACACAGACTTCAAATCCCAATTTCACACCACTGTTGCTCTCATCCTTATCTTACAGCATAATGCACTGATGCTGATAAATTACTTAATAGCTACAAAAAAAAAAAGAAAAAAGAAAAAGAAAAAAAACAAGGTTCTTACTTTGTACCTAATAAAATAATAACCAAATGCTCTCTCAGGTTGCTAGGATGCTTCCAAAGCTCTGAAACACTTCAGTAATTCTCCCCTTTAACCTATTTGTTTGATCACAGTTCCTGGCACCCCTCCACACTTTCCTAAAGCAAGAGCCACAGTCTGAACTCCAGGAATACTCAGCACTAAAAAAACCTCAGGGTTCTGCTAGTGGAAATTCTGATCTCTTCTCTTAAGGAAAATCCCCAGTTTTTGAAGTTCACATCAATCAAATTGGTCCTGGATGCTGAGATTGGCATTCTCATTCCCTCTTTGTTTCCTGAGGGATCACACATTTTCCAGATCTCTGTCCTCTTTTTCTGCACTGTTTCTCCAGAGAATTTTCACTCAGTTAATGTATTTCAGGGAGGTGGGTAAATGTTCATCTGCAGGAATATTCAAAGGAAGGACCAGAAAAAAATGTGAGGGCCAGGGCTCCTCAGTGATTGTGTTACAGCAGTCATGGATGAAATTAGAAAGAAATGGCCCAAAACTGGCACTGTTATTGAATATGTGAATTAAATAATTCTACACTTCATCATCTTTTTGGAGCCCTAGAAAAAGAGAAATATATAAGAGGAAGGAAGGAAAATATTTTAAGAAAAAAAAGCCCACAACAGCATTTGAGAAACTTTTCCTTTGGTGAAATTTGGACAAAATAAAAGGAGATTGCAGGTAGTCATGAGGGTCTCTTCATAGTTCACTCCACAACCTTTGAGAATTTAAATTTACACCTCCCGCATGTTCAGTGGAACTGGATTAGACCATGCTCACTTGGAGGGAAGATTCTGGATAATTTTAAACTTTTGAAGTTGAAAACATTTGGAAAGGGAGACAAGTGTTTGAGTCTTTGATTAAAGCCATCTGGTTTTGCATCAAGTTGATAGAGTTCTGGAAGCTAAATATTCCACACTCTGAAATTCATATATTGGTTTTATTTTGTGTTAAATTTAGCAGAACTCTGACACACCAGAAATAGAATCTCCTTCATCAATACTTTTTATTTAATCTATTTCTGAAAATACAACATGAAATAAAAAGATCTCCACTGGGATTATGAAGTTAGACTGTGATTAAATGAATCTTGACTTTAGATATATTATTTGCAAAAAAATATAAAAATAAAAGGAAAAAACTCAAAGTGTGAGGCAAAACTCAGCTGTGTAAATTACTTGCTCTATGCAAAGCCTCTGATAAGAGAATGGCATCAGTTTTTAGCCAGCCTCCTTTCAAGCAGGGACACCTAGCCAGCAGAAAACTCAAGGAGCTTTAAATGCACAGAGCAGAAATGACATCACCAAGGCAAGAGCAGAGTGATTTGTAATGCAAACAGAACCCTGCCCCATAGCATTTACACACCCCCATTCGATCTGGGCCTTGTATAAAGGAATGCAAAGTGGATCCAAAGTTCACCACAGATCCCAGGAGCTCCTGCAGCTCTAACTTAAGGCCATGGAAATCAAAGAGGCCCCAGAAGATTTCACAGGAATATTCCTGCAATAATTACTATGTAAAGGAGAAGCCTAAAAGGGACACTGCACACGTCTCTACTTCAATCCCATTTTCTCTTGTTCAAACTCACAGAAAAATCATTTACAGCCATGAGGCAAAAGCTATGTAGAGTCATACTTCTCATTATTTATTTAATCATTAACTTATTAAAATGGTTTTTATAACCACCCAAAACTTTATTCTCCATATGTCCTTAGTGAGGACTATTAGAGCTGTCTGGAATTAAGTCTCTCCCACTGGGTATCACAGCTGAGAGGTTTTAGTGGGTTTAATAACCTATGCAGTTAAAAACAGGTGAAAGCTTGGTATTTGATTTACCTACAGCAGCCAAAAGTGTATCATTATATTTACAAAAAAGTGAGAACAAAGTGCCTTGATGTATTTTGCATTCTTGCTTGGCAGTGGTTTCAATTAGCAATAAGATGTGAAAGAGGACGTCCAGTTAACTACCCCCACAAAAAAAGAAGTTAACATCTCTGAACATCTTTACTTCACATCCATTTGCTGTGCATCAGTTTGAGTACTCAGTGTTGGTGAGTAGCTGTGGATCAGACGTGGAATCAGTTCATCCAGTGCACATTTCTATTCCTTTCAACTCTTCAAATGATCCTTATCATTGTTCACAAACCTTTTCCTCATCTCCTCCCTATCCCTCTGATGAATGTATGTATGCACCTGGCTCATGCACCCTGATTTTCACCCTATCTGACCCCAAAAAACACTCAGATTTTTTTTTTCCCAACCAATTGCTGACACAGCCCTCATTTTCTCTTTTACTTCCTTTTTTCTGATACCTGTTCTTATCTGCTATCACCTTGAAGTATCAATTTCCTTTAGGCATTTCACTCATTGCTGGGTTTTCTGATGTCAAAAAAATTGATGGAAAACTGTCAAGAAGAGTTTCTGTTTCTATTGTGCAATAAAAGTTGCAAAAGACCCTTCTCACAAATCCCACAAAGCAAGAAAATAACCAAAAACATGAGTTGCCCAAGGACACAGAGTAAAAACACACCATTAGCAAAAATAACTAAAATTAATGAAGCTAGTAGCTGCTCAGGCTCTTACAAAATTGATCTCCAGAGGTGCAGATCACGTAGTCCTCAAATAATGACAAAGAAAAGGGAACAAAAAAGCTCTTTACTTCTCCAAAAAGGTATTTTTCAGTTTTAAGAGTAGAGAGAGATCTTTTGGGACGAGACAGTTCCAAGAAAAAAGTTCCAGTGGCATGATGACCTGGAAGTGGCAGTGAGTGGTGTTCTGTGCTTCAAGAGCAGAATCCTTTAGAAGACAGTTGGAAAAGACATCAGCTGCAGGTTGTTTCCTGAGTTCCCGCTTGCACAAATTCAATTGTGATTAGAATGAAAAGAAGGAAAAGGAGGATCAGCATTACTGCATCTTCTGTGACACTGCAGCAATGTAAGAGCGAGTAGCTGGCATTACATTCTGCCATCTCTGGCCATCTAGTGGCATTTTTTTCCTCCACAAAATATAACAAATAAACAATTACAATTATTATTCCAAAGAGAAACAAACACCCAACAGCCCATATATGTTAAATAAAGAGCTTGCAAGTATGTAATTCTTACTATTTTATTAATGCTGTGGCACAGAAAATTGGTTTAGAAGCTACACAGAATCACACCATCAGGTTGGAAGATGGATTACTGACTCCAACCTCAATGCTCTGCAGCCTGGTGTGCTCCAGGGCAAACGTCCACTGCTCCTGCATGGGGATGTGTCACCCCAGGTGGCTTTGCCTGGCCTGAGTGACACCTTGGGGACAGCTGGAGGATGGGTTGGTGCCTTGCTGCTGCTCCTGACGGTACCAAAGAGGTCTGTGACTGAAGAAATACTTTGGAACAGAAATTACTACAGCGAAAAAAAATATTCTGGCAGTCCTGCAGCATCCAAGCAGCTGGAGATGGGCCAGAGAGCTGGAGATGGGACAGGGAGCTGGAGATGGGACAGGGATGTTTTCCCAGTGAGGTGGCCCAGGCTGCAGCCTGACCAGGAGCACAAGCATCCCCGGAGCCGGAATCTCTGCATCCCACGGCTCCTTCCCCCTCCCAGCCATGGATGGACAACCGAGACAGCAGCACCGTGTCCGGCACATCTGGGGAACATCTGTGCCAGCTCCTGCGCTCCTCAGTGCACGCACGAAGCTGCTGGGACGGTGACAAAAGATGATGAGCGGTCTGGAGCATCTCTCTGACGAGGACAGACTGAGGCAGTGTTTGGGCTACAGGAGGCTGAGCGTGGATCTCAGCAATGCATTTCAATATCCCTAAGGGGTGTCAGAGGATGGTGTCAGAGGATGGTGCCAGAGGATGGTGCCAGAGGATGGTGCCAGACTCTTCAGCGGTCGCCACAGGATGAGGAGCAACGGCCACAAACTAAACCACAAGAACTTCCACCTCAGCATGAGGAAGAACTCTCCACCTTGAAGGCGGCAGAGCGCTGGGAGAGCTGTGGAGACGTTCCAAGCGCAGCTGCCCCGGCTGAGATCCGGAGCCGCAGCAGGGCAGGGAGGGCAGGGAGGACGGAACCGCCGTTCCCGGGCCGCGGCGCCCCGGCCGAGCGGGAGCGGCGGCGGCGCCGAGGCGGCGCTTCCTGCGGGGCGGGGCCGGCAGGGCCGCGGGCTCGGCAGCGGCGGCCGCGGCTCGGGCGGCCCCGCCGGGCTCCGCTCCCCGCCGGGCTCCGCTCCCCGCCGGCTCGCCATGCAGCGCTTCACCGTCAACATCAAGCTGCCGGCGCGGACCCTGACGGGCGCCCTGAGCGCGCCCAACCGCGGCGCGGCGGACTGGTGAGGGCCGGGCCGCGGGGCCGGGCGCGGGTCCCTCGGCGGCCGGGCTCGGCTCTGCCCCGGCGGGCTGTCCGCAGAGCCGAGCCCGGCAGGGGCAGCGGTGGGGCCCTGGAGAGGCCGCGGGTGCTGCTGTCCGGCTGAGCCGTGCCCGCAGGCCGGCCTGGCCCGGCCCCTCCCGGCCCATGGCAGCACCGCAGGGTGGGACGAGATGCCAGGAAGGGATTGTCCTGTGTGGGTGCCCCC